GCCACGGCACTCACTGTGCTGGAATAGCTGGCGCTCAGACTAATAACAGCCTTGGTATCGCTGGTGTTGCAGACGTGAAACTCATGATCCTGAAATTTGTAGGTAGTGATAGGACAGGTCCTCTCAGTGGCGCATTGAAGGCTCTCGATTATGCAGTCGGGATGGGTGCTGCAGTGTCCTCACATTCGTATGGCGGTAATGTGCCAAGCCGGATCTTCGAAAATGCAATCCGGAATGCTGCTAACGCTGGCCATATTGTGGTTGCTGCTTCTGGGAATGAAGGAATGAACCTGGACGAGACCCCAACCTATCCTTGCTCGTACTCAAGGTCGATTCCTTCTATGCTCTGCGTTGGCGCGAGTTCTTCGACACCGACCTCGCCTGTATCTCTCGCCTCCTTCTCGAACATCGGTTCTGTGGTTAATATTGTCGCCCCTGGCGTGAATATCCTTTCGACGTACCTCTCGGGTTCGTACGCTTTTCTCAGTGGTACATCGATGGCTACGCCTCAAGTTGCGGGTGTTGCGGCCGTGCTTGCCACATTGGGCTTGGCAGGGCAGAGCATCACTGACTCTATAACACGGTCTCGAACTGCTAGCCTTAGAAATGCGCTCTCTTTGCAAAATTTGGGGGAATTGGATGCGTTGAACGCAGTCAATGAAGGCCTTGGTCAGCCGACCACCCCTCCAAGGCAGCCATCAAGCGCAAGACTCTCATCTTCGGTTTGTTTGTGGAGCGTTGGACTCTTGTTTGTTATTATAACCGGCCATTCTGCTTTCTAGCATTGTGTCCATTCATTCACACTTATCACTAACCCGTAACCCATCACACTTCCAAGGAATACCACTAGTCCATATTTACATGGGTTGAGATTTTCGTCAATAACGGACAGTTCACAACTGTGAAGGGCATCACTTCTTACTGAGGCATCGCTCAAGAACTGGAGATTTGAGGCTTATCGCCGGGAATATCAGCCCATATGATATCCGATATCATACCGGGCTGATAGTCTCGATATAATTCTCCGATATCAGATATCGGAGCAATTGTGCTGCATTTCATGAGAGCACATTCCTATGATGAGGAATTTTTAATAACAATTCGTTATGATTGAAAA